GTTACCACCCCCCAGGGTGTCATTCTACAGGTCTCTTTACATAGTTTGTCTGGCCACTGGACACTTGTACATAAGAATCTATGAAACAAGTTTGCTGGAACCAGATTTTTTAAAAAATCCCTCTCCTATGCCATATTGTCACATCTGCCTACAGGCAATAGGACTCCTTCACTGGTTATGAAAGAATTAATGCATTCTTCTTGTTCTTAGCAATTCACAACATCTATGATGACATTTAGGCTATAAAAGGTATCGAAAGATTCCCAGGAAAATGTCAACTTGTGCAGGGACTGTGCAAAAGGATTAAATCCCATGTGTGTGGGGTTGTGTTTACGCCTATTTATTCATACATACCTATGTCTATATGTGTATCTTTATGCACAGCTCTGTATGTATGTCTTCATGTGCATATACATATACAATTTGTTATATGCTAAGTACCAGGGCTATGTTAAATGCTCTATGTACATTTTCTCATATAATCCTCATAACATACCTACAAGGTAAATATTTTTTTTACAAAAAGCAAGTTTCAAAGGTGGGACATAATTTTCCTGAAGCTACCAGTGATAAAGCGTCAGAGCTAGAATTAAAACTCTAGTTTACCCAACTCTGAAGGAAGGACACCAACAATTTATATACACATATAGACAGAAATATAATGTAGCTTATAAATTGTTAGAAACTGAGTTGTTAAGAGATGATTGCAGGAATATTTGTTTCGGTAAGAAAACGTCAAACATGGGGGTCCATATATCCAGAGGGAACTCTAATTCGAAAAGATACATGCACTCCAATGTTCATAGCAGCACTATATACAATAACCAAGACATGGAAGCAACCTAAATGTCCATCAACAAATGACTGGATATAGAAACTATGGTATATTTATACAATAGAATACCACTCAGCCATAAAAAATAATAAAATAATGCTATTTGCAGCAACATAGATGGATTTGGAGAATGTCATTCTAAGTGAAGTAAGCCAGAAAGAGAAAGAAAAATGCCATATGATATCATTTGTATGTGAAATCTAAAAAAAAAAAAAAAGACGAACTTATTTACAATAGAAATGGACTAACAGACATAGTAAACAAAATTATGGTTACCAGGGGAAAGCAGGTGGGAAGGGATAAATTGGGAGTTTGAAATTTGCAAATATTAACTACTATATATAAAATAGATAAACAACAAGTTTCTTCTGTATAGCACAGGGACCTATCAATATCTTGTAGTAACCTATAAGAAATACAAAAACAAATATATGTACGCATATCTATGATCAAAATATTATGCTGTACACCAGAGACTGACACGCTGTAAACTGACTATACTTCAATAAAAAAGAAAAGAACAAGACAGTATGTCAATCATAGAGGTATAAATTTGCCCCCAAAATGTTGCACTGAAACCCTACCATCCTTATGCTGATAGAGAAAGCATCTCTGTTAAGGTAAAACTAAGAAGAATTGAAATACATTCACTAGAAAATCATGTACATTATTTATCAATTAATAATTTTCTTCCTTAGTAATAAGAGTGTCATAACCAACAAAACAACTGTGGTGTAATGGAAAACTAACACCTAGAAAACATTAACCACAACCTTCAATTATGAGGGTTCCCTCACCCTACACTTTCTTTAATAAAAATGATAGCAATTCATATTTCACATGTTCAAATGCCAATGTACAAAATCATGACCATAAAATGTGAAAATTAGTGGATTACTTTGGATGATTGTGTCTTGTTCACCTTGTTTGTTAGTGTCCCCCAAGTTGGATCTTGAAATATCCAAACACTATTAAGTTAACAATGAGCAGAACTGAATTTTGCTATGTAGTATTTTAGCACCAACCCAGACTACACTACTGTCCTACTCAGGATTTACTGTGGGGTCAAGAATTCAATGCAGTGGCAGCCCTAAGAAATATACAATGTATTTCATACAAGATCTACTGTGTTTAAGTTTCTATGCAATTGTATTTACATTGGTTATTGATAGAGATTTTCCTAGCCATAAGCATTGTATTAGAACGTAAGAAAGATTTTTTTTACTTGAATGCTTTACTTAACCAAATTTTTCGACTAGTTTCCAAAGGATTTTGCCATGAAGGATAAAATAGAAATGTATGCATCAACTTTTAAAATGAAGTCTAGTTAGCCAAAGGGTGGTGTTCCATTTGTTTCTGTAGTTAGGAAAGGACTGTCCCTATCAGCTGTTCTATTAGGCGATCTCTGGCAGGTCATTCAGTCTTTAGATAAGAGTTTCTCAATGAAAGCTGGAGGTACAAGTAGGAAATCTGTCACGCTGCTGTATATTTCTTCCCAAGCATGTTGTAATCTTGAGGTTGGAGGGAGCACACATGATTATTACAACAGACTTTAAAACAAAGACAAAAAAATCTTCTTACAATAAAATTATAGACTGTAAAATTCGCAAAGTCTCAACTGGTATCATTACTTACAGATTTTGTGGTTTCAACTAGGAGGGGAAGGATATAACACTTCTTGGAGGCCATCACATTTTTTTTATAAATTTTAGTAGCCATTGACATACATGGACTTAGCAAGAGGGAATAAATTTTTTGAGAAACATGGCTTTAGATGACTTGTAAATTAGCCCTAGACATTCTCTGTACTGTGACTTATGATTTAGGCTCTGCATCTTGACCCCTGAATATACTATTAGATGCTGACTGGACTGCTTTGCTTTTTACCCTTAGAATTTTGCTAGAACTCTGGGAATGCTGGCCAGATAAGAAAATAGACTTTACTGGAGATGCCTGCAATGATTTTAAAACCATCCTGAATAAAACAGAACAGTACAAGGAGCCAATTATGAAGATAACATTTGCCAAGGAAAATACATCTCTGAGATTCTCTCTGAAATAAATCTCTGTGTCATTTGAAGGTGAAAGGAAAATGAGATCTGGAAGCCTCAAAAATCACAAATGTTTTGGTACCTACTGTACAGTGGTGTGGTGGGGCCTGGGTCGGTCCACATTGACTTGTAAGAGTCCACTGTGAACATCTCTACCGAACAGCTTGAAATTAGTCATGTTGGGAGTCTTTATACCACAGAAATTCTCAAATGCTACAAATCACCCCCTCTTACCCCCACCCCTAAACAAGACTATTAAACATTTACTAACATTAATGGAGGCGATGAGGAGGATTGCCTAAGGACCTTTATTGTTGAGTCCTTCAAGTAACAGGAATGCCAGTTTACTGTTTATTTGGTTAAGACTCTCCATAACATTTATGATGGGAATTTCATTTCCAAACTGAGTGAAATGGTGTCCCTGCAATATTTTTCAGTGTTTTAAGGATTGAACCTATATTTTTATGCCTGGCAGAGAAAGCCCTTAGAAAATATGAGTGTTTAACCATGGAATCACCAGTTGGTTTCATGCTCTCAGCTTTTAATACCGGCGGGGTTTCCACAGCAGGGGTCCGGTAGCCTTTGAAATGCGGTGGCAGCGCTATCCAGTCTCCCTCAGCCTTTTGACCTTTCCCCTTTGAGATTCATTGCATCTTGTCTCTCATCCTTAGCCACAGAGCCATGCATCAGTCACACACATTTCTCTTTTTTTTAAACAACCTCATTGAGATGCAACTGATTTACTAAGAACTGCAAATATTTGATGTATACAATTTGATATATATATACAAACACTCGTGATATCATCACCATAATCAAGGCAGTAGACATATCCAACACCTCCCGAAGTTTCCCTGTGTCCCTTTGGTTCCTGTTTTCTTTTTTTGTTTCCTGATAAGGATATTTCACATGAGAGCTACCTTGCAGCAACTACGGATAACAGTGTGGAAGTTCTTAAAAAAAATTAAAAGTAGAACTACTGTGTGATTCAGCAACTCCTCTTTTGGGTGTATCTCCAAAAGAATTAAAATCAGGCTCTGAAGGAGATTACCTTCATTCTCATTTCATCACTATTCATAATAGTCATTAGTATTTCACAGTGAGAAGAGCTCAAGCGTCTATCTACAGATGAATGGATTTTTTTTAATGTGGTATATATGTACAATGGAATTGATAAAAGAAATTTTCACATATTGAGATAAAGTGAAGTTATTCTGGCTTCTACCAGAGTTAACTTGGATTTTATGCTGACTAAAATAGCCTGTTTGTGGTCTGCCGAACATACACTGTACATCTGCTCTAATTATTAAAGAAAAGGGCACACTGACCAGAAGTAAAGAATGTCCATGTTAAACATTAAATGCCCCTCTTCCTGGGATGCCAGAGCTGGTACTCCTTTGATAGTAAGACTCCCTTCCTCGATGCCAAGGCCATACTGTATTTGCGGTACATGTACATGCTGGTCTGGTTTTCTGAAACCTTGATGAAATGTATCCCTGACTTGTTTAACGTTCTTTGTTCCAACAAGATATAAAACTGTGCTGGAAACCACACTTTTCCACAGCAGCTTCTCAGAGTAATCTGGGAAGCTGGCTTCCGGGCTAGTTTTCAGTTTGGCTCAAATAAAACTCTTTACTATTCTTACTCTTGATTCAAACCTTAAAAAGGAGTTAATATTGTCATTTGCAACAACGTGGATGAACCTGAAGGGAGGGGCTAATTGAAAAAAGCCAGATACAGAAGGACAAGTACTGCATGATTCCACTTTTGTGAGGACCCTAAAGCAGTCAAACTCACAGAAGCAGAGAATGTAATGGTAGTTTCCAGGGGTTAGAGGGGTGAGATGGGGAGTTGTTGTCCAACGGGTACAAAGTTTCAGTTGTGCTGAATGAGTAAGTCCTAGCAATCTGCTGTACAACACAGTACCTACAGGTAACAACAGTATGGTACTGTGGGCTCATCAGACACAGGGAAGGGACCATTTGGTTATTATTTGGTTAACTTATATGGTATTATTTGGTAATTATCTGGGTAACACAGTTAAGAAAAAATAATCCCTCTGGTCCTTATGGGATAATGACACTGGATTCTCAGCTACAGCTGGGAAAGGGGACTGGGAAGAATCAACTTGTTCCTGACAAGTCCAAAAAGTATAAGAGAATAAAAACCCCAGGAAGACAAAAGTCTTTCCACAAGAGTCAACACAAGTCTGGACACACTGGGTAGAGATGCTGGGAACCAGTAAGGAAGCGGTGTCCTAGCCTCAGTGTGGTTTTACCACACCTGGAAATCTGTGCGCAGTAATGCTGCTGGCCTCAAGAGCACCTGCACAGCACAGAGAGCAGCCCTGCAGGGAAACGCGCTTCATGGAGAGATGTCTGAGGTGCTGGGAGAGGTCCGCTCTGTGGACACGAATCAGGGAGGCAGGGAGAAGCGAAAATCAACAGACCCTGCCTTTCTAGGAAAAGTGAGAGGACAGCATCAGACAGCGGGCGGGAAACCTACGGGAACCTCTAGCCTGACAGTATTAGCTGAATCAAAGATTTAAATAAAAGTTGACAAAGATACAAGGAGAAAAAAAAAACATTTCAAACATATTCCCCAGCTCTGAGGAGGGATTGAGAATAAATTCCATCCTCTTTATAAGCTATGCTTCTATTAACAGAGCAAAATAGCTCATGGCCCGTATGCATACAGAAATCCCCACGGCGTGTATGTAGAACTGGAATTCACCCTTTCCTGGAACAGCATTAAGAAACACTAATCAGAACCAAAAGCAGTCTTTAGTGCCCTTAGAAATGATAACAATCTAACACTTCTGCATAGGTGAGTAACGCATGACTTTTTTCCAAAACCAACAATCAACCACAAACCCTTGGCTGGCGCAGGAAAGCTTTTAAGGCTTGAGAATATTAGGAGAGGCTTCTGATACCAAGTGTTCCAGGTCATAAACCCACACAAGAGCAATCTGTGCTTTTAGGGAAAATGACCACTATGTGGTCAAGGAGAGCGTTGCAGTCCACCTAACCTATCACATAAATCACCTCTCATGTCTGTGAAATGATGTTCTGTTTGTCCCACTGAAGTAGCTTAATCTGCATCCCGGTACCTACTATTCATGCAGGAGATGTTTCTGATCCCATTAAAATCTGATAGAGACTAGCATATACCACTTTTGAATAAAAGTAGGGGGGAAATAACCTAAATGCCCATGGACCATATTTCTAAGGTCTTGGTCCAGGGATGGCAGAATACAGGAACAGTTACTTCCTGTTTGTGTGTGTGTGACAAAGTTAGAGCAAAGTGGAGACCAGGCAACAGAGGCAAATGTGTATGCAGGTTTCTAAAATCTAGTGTATCAAAGCGGTTTAATGCTCTGGCCCGGAATGTTATATAATGATGGCACGTTGTCTAACAAGGTGACAAGAGGGAAAACAAGTGCTCTCAGCCCCATCTTTAGGCAAATAACAATATCATTACCTTCCATTCTCCAGTTCTAACTACAGTACGGTTCCCAAATTTGATTGCATTTTGGAATCCCCTGGGAAGTTGTAGAAACTAATGATACCTCAGCCTCAGCCCCAGAAATTCTGATGGAATTATTCTGAGGTTCACTTGGGCATCAGGACTTTTACAAGCTCCACAGCTGATTAGAACAGATGGCTCAGGTTGAGAGTCACTGAGTAAGAGGAACTAAGAAACTGTCTAGGTAGTGTTTCTCAAATTTTAATGCATGAAGTCATCTGAGGATCTTATTAAAACGCAGGTTTTTGATTTAGTAGGTCTGGAATGGGGTCTGGGAACCAGGCTTTGAATAAGAGGGCTCTACAGCAGTGATCACCAAGTTTCTGGAGCAGCATCCATCGGCACCTGGGAACTTCAGAAACGCAAATTCTCAGGCTCAATCCCAGACCCACTATGTCAGAAACTGGTGGAGAGTCTGGAGGATAAGCTGGGATCTGTACTTTAACAAGGCCTCTGGGTGATTTATATGTGACTAAAGCTTAAAACCACTGGTCAGAGCCTTGCTATTCGAAGTGTGATTATTTGACCAGCAGCATCAACCTCACCAAGGACTCTGTAAGGTTAATTCAGGATTTCAGGCCTTACCCCAAACTTACTGAATCAGATTCTGTATTTTAATAAAATTCCATGTGATTTCTATGCATTTTAAAGTGTAAGAAGCCCTTTAAGTCTTGGGAAACTTCCTCCCTCAAGTACCTTGCCTAGAACAACTGATGATAAAACACTCATCTGAAACAAAAAACTAATAACATTGTCTGTAATTTTGATAATATATGGCAGGTTTCTTTTTAGAAAAAGAAATCTTGTTTATAGTGACAACTTTCAAAATATGGCAAAGCCTAATCAAGCAAATGGAAATCACATGATCTCACCATGTGGCAAAAACTACTGATAACTGTTTATTCTTTCATCCAAATAACAGTGCTTCTAGAGAGAGAATAAAAGCAAATTATTGAAAGGGATCATTTTATCTTGCTCAAACAGGAACTTGGCAATGTTTTAACTGAAACTTATACCCATTAGATCTGCTCAATGTGGCAAAAACATGAATCTCTTATTTAGGATAATGTTGGTTTCTATCCGAAGTAACATGGCATCCGGTTCCAATGGTCATCTTGGGAGTCGGAATCCTCTGCCATGATTCATAATGTTGAAACAAAGTTATCCTATTCTGCTTCTAAGTTAGGTCAGAAAGCAGACAAAAATACCAACCAGTAATGAAAAACAGGGTGGGCTCTTTTAAGTTACCAGCAGTGAATAAATTCCCAGCAAGCTGAAACACTGATGTGTACTGGTGACCTTTAAATATATAACGAGTAAATAGTTTGGGAAAAGAGAGTAATTCACATGGATCTCAAACGAATTTTCTTTCAATCTGTAACAGATCAACTTGTTCTGTCAAAGAAGTCAGATTGTTAAAATTTAAAAAATCTTGGCTGCCCAGAACTGCTACAGCCAGAGCTGTCAAACCAGAAGCCTAGCCAAGGGAAGAAACGAGAACTTGCATGTAGGAACCAAGATCCTCAGCTCCTTCGTATGAAGCCAGACCAGTGACAGCTAAGAACTTTGTTTTTAATGATGTTTCTTTAGATTGTTAAGGTATTCAACAGGCACCGTCCTAAATGACTCTAAACTCTACCAAGACCTTTCCTTTACCAGAGGGAATACATTTTCATTAAACTCCAACATAAGAAGGTAACTACACCATTTGTCTATCAACACTGGGAGAAGGAGCTGGAACAAGTCATGTTGTTTCTACACAAGAAGAAAAGGTAGACACAGTCGTGGGAAGTGGAATAGTTTGAGAACTAACATTTGGAGTATTTGGGGGAGTTGGGATTGGGTATTAGAGTAGGAAGGACATGTTATAGGCAGTGCCTCGCAAAGAGGGAAGGCTGGTTCTAGTCCCTTTGGGAAATGTGCACTTTTTAGTGAAATTGGTGGCTGTGCATTTATATACTGGCATATAATGAGTTTATTATAAAGCACTTTTCTTACACTTCTTCATGTTCCTTTATATTATGGTAATACATACTATTTTAAATTCTATGTATAAGTATATTTGTATATTCCACCAATTTCATTTCAGACAAGTAAAAGGGGATTACAAAAGAGTTAGAAAAAAAGTGCATTGCATCTAACAGACCCTGTGAAATTAATTATCATCAATATAAATATAATTATATGCATGGCTAGTTGATTGTTATTACCTTGATACCAAAAAAGAATGTTAAATAGTTTCTCCCCAAATTTTCAAGATATATTTGGGATACTCCAGTTGAAAACCAGTCCATGTAACATGTAAAGTACTCACTGCTGGAAACCAAAGTCAAAGCACCAGGGGCTTGGAGACAGCCAAACAGGAGAGATGTTACATTAATATAAAATGCTGTGATCTAAAGAAAACACAATTTCAGTACAAACCCCAACTTGAAAGTCCTAGGGGTAGTTCTGAGGTAGAGCTGAGCTCCATCTCACATACATAACTTTATCCAGAGAGCTTTAAAGTTAGTACCAAGGACACCTTTATCTACTATGGTTAATGTGGAGATTAGCAAGAATAAAATTAAAGTAGTCCGGAAGGGTCTGTTTTGCAAGTGGAACAGAAATATTCCTCTGGAGTTAGTTTCAGAGTACAGAAACATTTAACAAGCCTATTTGATAACATTGGCAACTGGGAGGTACTTTTACATCGTCACCTCATCCATTTCTGTTTCCCTTTTCGTTATTCACGTGATTAAGTCCCTTAATCATGTAACAAAGCAACAATATGCAAAACAATATCAAACTGTTCAGCATCTAAAAGAAACAAAAAAAGGGACGTGTCTAAGCGCTCCTTTACTGACTTGAGTCTCCTGCAGAATATTGGGGAGGGTGCCCCCTAACGGCCAGGCAGCGTGACGCAGGGAACTCACCCAACGTGGCAGAGGACATGGTTTGCACTTCCACGCCCACACCTTTGTCACGCTCGGTCAAGCAAATACTGGACTCCGAATCAGAACCCTTCAGGAACAGGGTCTTTAAAGGCCAAACAAAACAAAACAAACAAACAAAAAAAGAGAAATGGATTCACTCCCTACTTTCAAGACCTCTAACACAGTAACCCACCATGTTAGCTTTGGAACACAAGAGCATAAATGGGGGTCTTTAAGATGAGTTGAGCAGCAGCTGAAATTTCCAAGGGCCTCTAATCAGCTACAATGACAGTGACCACATTTTCTTACCCAGTGGTTCTCAACTGAGCTCTATATTAAGATCATCAAGAGAGCTTTCAAAATAATAGCTGATGTTCTTGTGGTACCCCACAATCAATTAAAAATCTCTCTGGTTGGGACCCAAACACCTATATTTTCAAAACCCCCCTAGGTGATTCCAATGTTCATCCAAAGTTGAAAACTACTGTCTTAGCAATATCCAGAAATGAAGCTAAACCCAAAGGATTATAGCAAGCTTCAAAAATCATGTGTAGTAATTACCATTACCACCTAAGGATCTCCAATATTGCCCTTAAATTAAGTTCAAAATTGGCTAATTGGCTGGCTTGGTCTTTGGATCAGATGGGAAAAATCAGCTAAACAAAACACAATTCTTTGATGGAAATTTAGCTTTCTGACAATTGTATGTTTGAGAGTTTGTGGCCCACTGTCAAATGAAAATAGAAGTGTTTTTTTTTTTAACTAAATCATAATACTCACAATATGCAGCTTGACCAACAGTGCTTGTGGGCAACTGAGTAACTTTAGAAATTCCTTTTTCTAAAAGGAAATTTTCTTTTCCTTTTCTTTTCTAGAAGAAAATTTCTTTTCTACACTGTGGACACTTATTTTATTCATTTCCAAAACAGGACTCTGGAAGCTGGGCTTAATTCTTGCCTTAAATAATCTGTGGGATTTGAGGCACAATTCAAAACTACCTAGATTTTAATTTTTTTCACTCTAACTAAAATAAGTTTGGACTGAAATCAAAGATCTTTTCCATCTCTTAATGTTCTGATTCAATAATACAGTTTCCTCCTTCCCAAGGCATTAGCCCTCAAATCACTTAGATTCATATGGTGATACAATTTATTTTCAATACTGAGGCCACATCTTAAAGGCAGAGTTGCACAATAACTGATTGCTTTGCATGGTATACAAGAGGTACCATAAGTACTAAGTTTTTCACAAAGGATAGTGCAAAGGTTAAGCATCATCCATCAAATGTAAAGAAGTATCTTCAGTAGAGACCAAGAGAATATCTGCTTTCTAATACAAACATCACTTGTCCATAAAAAATTACTGTTTTAGGAGGCATTCACTGAAGAGAAATTGCTGCCCCTGGAGGCGAAGATGTGATAAGACAATGATTTCTACTCTTTCATTTCAGCCAAATGGTAAATAAGTTACAAGTGAAATAACGTTGGCACTAATTCTCAAAAGCAGATTTAGGCAGAGACTTCAATAAGTCTGAAATCAGCACTTAATTTTTCATTTTCCCTTTTCTGGGAGCCTTCAGTGGCACTGTTTCAATTCTAAATTTAAGATACGTTGCCAAAACTTGATTGAAAAAACATGGTGCATGAAAAGATGTTTAGGTAGATTTGAAAACAAAACAAAATCTGGATATGAATACTTGAAAGTAAAATGAGTTTTACACTACTTTTCTTTTTCCTTTTAATAGAAAAAGACTCCTTTCTTTAGACTTTGGAACAACTTGGTACCTAAAAATTTATACTTTTTTATGTTGAGTAGATATTTTGAGAAGTATTGGCCAAAATTTGGAAGTTTAAGAACTATATTTCAAATGGAAATAGTTTGCATAGTTTCAACATTCTCTTTTCTTTCCCCATTTCCCTTCATAATGTTGGATTTAAAGTAATGCTGCCTTCTGCCTTCATATTCTCAGACATAAATGATTTTAACCTTTAAATTTAGAAATTCAAAGAAACAATGTTGGAAGTGGTATGTATTTTCTAATCTATTTTTTCTAAGATTTCAGGTAATCTCTTCCTACTTAAGAGGTCAAATTATTTCATCTGGTGTTTCTCCAAATATAATTACTATCTTAGGCTGAAAATTGGTTGAAGACATAAATACAGTAAATTTTTGAGTAAATAATTCTTTCACAGACACAAGATCTTAAGTTGCCAAAAAAAAATTCCTTTTCCAATTTATTGTTATTGAATATTAAATAGGCTATGGACCAGAACTAAAAGTAGATGGAGAGAAATCAGATGTGCAATTTGAAATGTAATTGTTAAAAGATAAGTTTTAACTACTTTAACCTCATTGGAATGCTTTTGAACCAGCTATGTTAAAAGTTAGATCTGCATTAAACTAATGTATGTTGGATTGGACCATTTTCACCAATTTTCTCTTGTTCTTAGCCTTGTCCAATGTCTGCCTATCAAAGGAGACATGCCTAGTCTGCAAGAATGGTAGGCAGGTATGGAAATATACAGATAATATTTTTAAAAGGAGGAGGGAGGTAAGTATCAATTATTGCTTTCAGAAAGACTATATGAAATGCAAGAGATTAATAGAATTCTGGGACCAAAAATCAAATTAGGAAACACACAGTGGGTGCTTACAGAGACAGGAGCAGGGAAAGATGAATATGAAAATGGAGAATCCAAGAGGTGGAAGAAAATTCAAACAGTGAAGTTCGGTTGGAAAACACTGAGCTTCCACTGGGTGTTATTCTATGAGCAGCCTAGATAGGGAGCAGGGGCAATGGCCAGGCTTTTAAAAAAGTGAGTTAAACTAAACATTATCCTTGAATGTGGGGTGGGCAAAAATGTACAAAGGCTTGCCTGGCAAAAAGAGGGTTAAAGTGGGCTTTTCCAATGAGCTTGTCTGTTCAGTGCCCCTCTGGTTCCCCTGGGCACAGTGTCTCTACAGCCCTGGGAGCCCAAGTAGCCAGTCCTAAACCTTCCAGTTTCCTCTTATCCCCTGTGACAGATTTCAAGGCTGCAAATACCTAAAAGGGTCCTGTTGGTCAGAGCAAAGAAGTCAGCCGGACAAGAGTAAGATCAGGCAACATAAAACAGGCCCGGATCTGTTCTTGACATGTGACAGGGCTGAGCTATACAAATGAGACAAAAAGAGATATATAAACCTAATCTTCAGAACCAATGGCTTCTCTGCCAATGTGGGGTGCCAGCAACAGTAGTATTGGGTAAACTAGAGATTGTGTGACTCTTTTTCTAAGCACTGGACACAGCCCAGGTTCACTGAGCAAAGCAGGGAAGCTACAGGTGATGTTGGTAATTCCAGAGGAAGGGTCTGTTCTGCTTTGGGGTGTAGAAAAATGTGTAAGTACTAATTATGCAAACTCTTCCAAGTGCTTCCTCTGAAGTAAAGACAGGATCAGGAACCCAAGGTTCTGAAGGATAGTTTTGAGGATGCTGTCCAGCTAGATGCTTCCTGCAGGAGGTGTGCTGTTTTGTCTGAGATCAGTCATGTCCTATGAAAGGGATAAACTAGACCTTCCTGGCCAGCCCACCACCATGATTGTGATGGTGTCAAGAACTTGTGCTGGAAGGGAATTAAAAATAAATTCTAACAGTACCATCCCCCGAAGTGCTTGGGAATCTGGAATATGTGTGGTTTTGCAAGCATGCCTGATCCAGAAGCATCTGAATTCTGTGTTCACCAGATCAGCAAAGTGACTTATGACCTAGGAAGAGTGCCAATGACTCGGGCAGTCCAGGTGAGCCTTCACTATGTGCCAAGTTCTGTGCTCTCGGAGGGCAGCTCTGGAGCTCTGCTGTGCAGTGTTGTCACTGAGTCTGAGTGGTGGCACCAACATCACTGTTGTTTTCCCAGGTCCCAAAAGATTCACAAGTACCTCGGCCTGCCTTGTAACTGATACCTCAAAACCAGTTTAAACAAGTTAGGACTACTTGGAGATTAAGCTCCTCCTAGCTTTGACATGTTGAACTGAAATACTAAATTTAGCTAGTCCCTAAGAGACAATCCTAGGTTGGCTGTTGTTCTCATTGTTCTTGACTGAATAACTGCTCCTGAAGAGGTTTTCTAGATTATATGGCTGAAAGAAAGGTGGTCAGTAATTCAGAAATGAATGAATTGGAGACAATACTCAATGCATAGTTTTCCAAATGGCCTCATTCCTGACCTCCTCCAACTGAGCAATAATAGGCTTTATAAAATCTTCCCAGATTTCAAGATCTTTCTAAACCACAACTGTTCTTGTACGTAACTTTCAATATAATTTTTACCATCTGTTGCCTGTTTATAGGGCATATATGCACATGGTACTGTTTATATGCAGCATGTAGGTTTACTATAACAGATTTAGTCAAATGGGAATCAGTC